ATTAGAAGCCACCTCCAGAAGGTTTTGAAAATCTGATGCTACCTTCCTTCTTAAGGTTATCTTAACACCAAGATAACAAAATTCTTTCACAACTTTAAACCAAAGAATTGAAGAGATTTTTTCTTCCTCCTCCTGTTAGTGTACTTCCCAAAAAGAATCGTAGATTTGGAAAAATCAACACTTTGTCCTGTCCAATTACAAAAATTGGTGACAATGTTCTTCAAATTCTTCACCTCACTATCAATGGCTTCCGAGAAAATTAAAATGTCATCGCCGTAGAGTAAATGAGAAACTCTAGGAGCATTAGGGGTAATAGAAATTCCCAATCCACTTCTATGAAGGCTAAGAGCATCAAAAATAATTTGAGAACATAAAATAAACAAGTAAGGACACAAGGGACACCCTTGCCTAAAACCACTCTTGCTAATGATCCAATCGGTCTTTCTCCTATTAATCAAAATGCAATACTTAGGATCTAAGACACATTGCATTAACAATTCCAAGCATTTGTGTTTCAAATTTTATTAAATGTTGTTAAGTATTTGAGAAGTAATAGCAATGCTTCCAAACCTTTAAAAATCCTTGATACATGAATTCATCTTAATCTAAGCTATCAATTTTGAAATCAATGGCTCAGATCTAGCTATTCTCTCATTTGATTAAACCAAAAATTTGATCTTGTTGCTTGATTTCATGTCTGATGGCATCTAGACCTTTGATTTTGTACAGTGCATGATAGAATGATCATTTTAATCTACTTGCGAGGATTAGTAAAAATTATTTGAGCCACCATTGTAATCATTGGCACTGATTGTGCCACTGCGCAATCATTGCCAATTATTGGCTACTTGCGATTAAAATTAGTTTATGCATTAAATAATTTCAAACTTGGCAAAAATTTAAAAAGTTCAGTATAAATTTATTTTTCATCCAATTTATTGAGTTCTTGGCTCATTAGAACCACCTTGAGCCGAATTTTATTTTAAAAATAATTTCAAAGAATTTTTACCAATGTGTTACAAGAAATTTAGGTTTGATTGACCACTAATTTAACTGAATAACTCCCTAACTGATGGTCCAATTAAGCACAAATTTGGATAGGGTAAACTAGGGCATGTGTGTTATATACAAAAATGTTCTTGGGCTTTGATGATCAATGAATTTTAGTGAATTGAATTTTCAAAGTTATGGATCACAATTTAACCCAAAACTTTTGAAACTAATTATTCTTAATACATAAAAAAATATGGCTTAAACATTTTGTGTGAAGTTTATGATTATTCAAGGGTTAGAATGACACTAATTTTACCCAAATCCAAACAAAAGAGTGCCCAAACTAAATATCCAAAGTTATAGATGCAATTAATTTTGGTGTTTGAATGTGAGACTTAGTAAAGCTTTGGTGAATCAAAATTTAGTGGGTATGAATCCCATGTTCAAATGAATCTGTGTTTTAAATTTAAATGCATTTGAAGTTCATTTGATTTGTCAATTAGTGAACCTAAATTTGACATACATAATTGACCTAATATTTTGTTTAATTCATAAAAAATCTAAAATAAATAAAAAAAAAATTAAGTTTCAAATTGTTCAAAATTAAATGCTTAACAAGTGAAAATTAAAATTCACTTGAAATTCATTCAAAATAAAAAGTAATTTAAAAAATGAAATCTATAAATTAAATAAATTAAAAAATAATTAAAATTCCAAAGAGATTCAAAACACTTGTAATCATCCCTAGGATTCTTTAGTGACATTTGGGGAATATTTTAAGAAGTATAGAGTTGAATTAGAACAAAAATTTTAAATCCCCTAACTACTTAAATTAATTAATTCATTAAAAAGGGATGAACTTGTAAAAAACTTAACTAATTACAAAAAATTTCAAATGACACAAACTCCAAGGCATTTAACTCATAGTTGGGTCTAGTATTTATGAAAAATATAAAACTTCTCAAATTCAATGAAAATAAAAAAAGTAAACATTTGATCAAATTTATTTAATTAAATAATTGAATAAATATGAAACTTCTATAAATCACCAAAAATTTAACAAATAACCAACACAATGAATTAAATTAGATAAACAACTGTAACTATTAATCAACACTTTATCAATAAAGTTAATAGGCTATAAATCTCAAGCTACGAAGATATATACACTAAGGAGGCTTTTGTTCTTACGCTCGTTGTGGCCACACCATGAATGAATTAACAGGATGTGGATATTAAATTAAAAATTTATAAATCAATAAATTAAATTAATTAAAATCATGAACCAATAATCAAACTTAAATAAATAGGTAATTTAATGGATAAATTTGGCTTATGAGGCTATTAGCTTAGTCCTAATAAGGATGAAATAAATCTCATAGCCTTGGTTCAATAAAGGCAATTACTATTTAATCTAAATAACCTTTGAAATTAGTAAAAAAACAATTAGATGTTGAAGTTTTTCATACCCTTATGCTTGAATCCTTTTAGGAAGGCAAAGGTGTATTGGATTGGAAAGTTTAAGGACTAGAATATATAATCAAAGTGAAAAGACTATAAGGAACATATCTAACCCATTTTAGGAGGACTGGTAGCAATACAAATTTGATCCTAAGACTTGAAAATCAATGACTTCTTGCACTTGGAAGTCATTTAGCACTATGTTCTTCAAAATCTACATATAAACAACCTTAACAATCAAAATACTTTAAAAATAAACCCAATGCCTCTAAAACATTAAAACTTGAATTAAAACTAACCTTTAATGGTTTTAAACAAATAAATTGAATTATTAATAATTCCAAACTAATAAAGCCTAAGATATATCTAAGCCACTTAGTTAATAAGTGTGAATAATGTGTTATGTTTTCAGTAAAAATATTTTATTTTAGTTATGTTGTGAAGGAAAAATACATAAAATGTTCCAAATTCTAAGTAGCATATAACATCATGACATCAGATTAAACAACCCCACAACACCATCAAAGGCACCACCGGAGCACCACAACATTGACACTGCAGTGCCAACTTCTTTCTTTGATACCACCACGGCATCAAATGTTCAGCTTTACAATGTCATGTTCTCTATCATCCAATGTTGCGGCATCACAATCTATAACATCTCAGTTTGGCACTTCAACATTCAAATATCAGCAACGCTACATTGTAGCAATTGTAACTTCACAAGGACATGATATGTTAGTAATACGATATAATTGTCCACTAAATAACTAATTCATGTCATTAAGTTTCATGGTGGATCCAAAATAGTAGTGCAGACACTTTAGTTTATTTATTGGGGGCAATAGGTCCAACCTTTCAAGCATCGCAGTGCTAGTTGCCAACTTTGTATTTTTCTATAAAAGTCACTGTGTTAGGTTTGAAAGAGAGTTCAGTCACTTATTTTGTTTAAGTATATTTCTAAGTGCTTCTTTAAATCTCCATTATTGTGATAACTAAGAGAGTTTAGGGAAGTACTTGATGTAATAATTAGAGTGTTTAGTCTATGTTAGTTTGAGCAACTCCATATATTGAGGAAGGAGTGTAAAGGATATACATTGAACCATTCTGGTGATATCATTCTCATGTATTTTAATTCTTCTCTGATTTCAATGGAAATGAGTTTGCTTTTCTTTTCTTCCATGTTTGGCCAATTCCTTAGTTTTGGATTGATGATATAAAGAACATATTAAATACTAATAAAAATTCTTATGCTCTAAAGTTAACAAAGATGTTTTTAATATTATCTTTGTCTTTATTTAATGCATATAATGGACATATGTGTATTTAAAACTTAGTGTGTTGTATAGCCTCAACGGAGGAATGCAAGAACAACGAGGAATATTAAAATAGTATTTTTTCATACCTAGACATAGGATATAAAAAATGCTAAGTTCTTAAGGAGATGACATAATTGTAAAAGGTCAGTAGATATCCTTTTTCACCCCTACAAGCTCGACAGATATCTAGGAATGTATATGCTCTAAATCACATCAGAATTAAGATTTTCATTAGGAAATACATGCAATTTATATTTTAACAATTTAAAACATTTCAATTTAAATATTTTATCCCTTATTTTAATGTTATTATTTAGTGATTGGATCTCCACAACAAATAGTTTTATTTAAGTAGGATAATTTTGTAATAGACTAGACAATAATAGTTGATTGCTGAAAAGTATACTTCCTTATGCATTTGACACTGTACTCTATCACTCTATTATTTGATTCGACATGTATACTTGTGTATGTTAATTGGGGTTTGTTTTTTTTATATCAAAGAAAATCTAAGTATTATTTAGGGGAGATAAATCCCTAAGCATATCTTTTTATAATTCAAAATTATACTCCACTGTACCGTCACATCCCCATCAAGTTTTTGGCACTATTGTCAGGGAAGTATTTCACTTTTAGCAAAATTTTAACTATATTATTGAATTAATTGCATAATTAGGCCAACTTATTCTTTTTTTATTTTCTTTGAATCATGAATTGTATATTCTATTTTTGTTGGTTGCATGCTTTGTATTTATGAAAGGAAATTATGTCATTTGATCTTGAAATTAAGAAAACCCTTTCTAAAATTTAAAAACCAAAAAGATTTTGAAAAAGCTTGAACCAGAGTTAGAGAAAAATCATTCTAAACCTCTTAAGGATTACACAAACCCTTTAGTAGATGGAATTCATTCGAGCATACATATAGCTATCATCTAACCTAATAATTTTGAATTAAAACAAACAATCATTCAAATAGTTCAAAACTCTCAATTTGGGGGAACTATTGTAAAAGACCCCAATTTATATTTAGCAAGCTTCATAGAAATATGAACAATATTTAAGTATATTGGTGTCAGTGATGATGCTATTAAACTTAGATTGTTTCTCTTTTCTCTAAGAAATAAAGCTAAAATTTAATTAAATTCTTTATCCCCATATTTAATAACAACTTGGAATGAGTTAGCTGATAAGTTTCTTTCTAAGTATTTTCCACGTTAAAAATTGCCAAAACATAGAAATGACATAACTTCTTTTATTCAGTTTGAACGAGAATCCATTTATGAGAGTTGGGAAAGATTTAAGAAAATGATTAGAAAATGCCCTCATAATTATCCATGACTGTTTTTGTCTCTAGCATGACCACTTGATGAAAAAGAAGGGGGGGAAATGGCCGATACTACTGGAAGGATTCCTCTTTGGCTGATAGGTACTGTAACTGGTATTCCTGTGATCGGTTTAATAGGCATTTTCTTTTACGGCTCCTATTCTGGGTTGGGTTCATCTTTATGATACTTTAATAATCATATGAACTATATTAGATTGTATACATGGAAGAGTAAGAACTCCACATCATGCATTACCTTATTGGTTGATTATTTAAACATTTTATAAAAGATTAGTAGGATCTCTTAGAGTTATAATAGATGTTGTAGCTGGAAGATCATTAATGTCTAAACCATTTGAGAAAGCCAAAGAATTAATAATAGAAATAGTTACTAATAATTTTCATTGGCTTTCTAAGAGGTTAAATTCTAAAGAAGTAGTTAAAATTTATGAATCTAATGTTTTAACAATCTTTGTTGCAACAATTTTTAAAAAATTGGATAACTTGAAGATTAAAAATAGGGTAGATGGACGTTATAATTTCAACATCAATTCTAAAATTCTTCACACCACAGCATTTACATGTGGCACCGTAGCACTATCCCTAAGATTATGAACAACTTCATCATAAAAGTAATGAGAAAACACCCTTGGAAAATATTATTGTATAATTAATAATCTGAGTACGAAATCAATCTTATGCTCTTAAAAAAATTGAAGATCAAATAAGGCAACTCGCTAGGTGGATTAATTTTAAAAAAATGGAAGAACAATGTCATAATATCCAACTTAGAAGTGGGAAAGATTTAGAACATCCTTACAAAGATAGAGATTTACAAAAAAAGGATGATAATGAAGTTGAGCAAGAATAAATAACAAAAATCTTCCACAGAACAACTTGAACTTATAAAAAAACATGAACGTGTAATTATGAGAGTTGAAGAGAGACCACCTCCACCTTTTCCTCAGAGATGGATCAAATAAAATCTAGATAAGTAGTTCTCAAAATTTTTGTAAGTGTTTAAAAATTTGACTTTTAATATACCTTCTCTAAAGCTTTAGAATAGATGCCCACATATCCAAAACTCTTGAAAGATATCTTGAAAAAGAAAAGGAAGATATGGGAATTTGAAATTATGGCACTAACTGAAAAGTGTAGTGCAATAATTGAAAAGAAACTTCTCAAAAAATTTAAAAGTTGGTCGCAAAATGATTAGCCAAATAAATCATATGACCCTATAATTTCATGAAAAGTTTATATATCAATTTTGATCATATTTATTAACTTTTTGCTTATCCAATTATTATACCTTAGCTTAAACATTTATGATAAATCAATCACTCGATATTATCGCATCTAATTATTTCTCATTATTAGACAAATAAAAATCATAATAAAGAAATAACACTAATTTTATTACATTGAGGTTACAAAAAAAAGTATTGAATAAAAAAATTCATTCATCAATAGGTAAATAAAGATTGGCTAGAAGAAAATGAGAATTGTATTCTTTCATATACTTTTTAAAATTCATTCATAAATTAAAAATACAAAATATGATCTCTAATATCTCAATCCTAAAATGTTAATATTCACAAAATAATAATCTATAAATTTTATAGCTGAACCCCGTCAAGGTCGTCGGCTATAAAGGTTGCCACCATAGCAGCTCGTCCGACAAGAAATCTCACTCTCATAGTGAATGTTGCCACCTTATTCCCACATGGTGTAAGTAATCCTTGTCTGCGCTGCAGTTTGCTCATCTTCAGATGGAAAAGGGCCATAATTATGTCAAGAATACAGCTGAACTTGCTACCCAATTCTTCATTAATCTTGCAACAAGTCAGCCAAATGTTGCTGGGTTGATCTTGGCTGGGTATGCTGATTTTAAAACTGATCCAATCTGATATGTTTGATCCATGTCCACAGGCTACAATAATCAGCGTGGTTGATGTCTCACATGGCAGAGTAAGAGGTTTCAATCAGGCAATTGAGTTGTCTTCTGGGAAATGTGAAGTTCATACAGGAAAAGAAATTTATCGGAAGTATTATGTGGAAATTAGCCAGGATACTGTAAAGTATGTCTTTGGCGTTGATGACACGCTGAAAGCAATTGATATGGGTGCTGTTGATATCTTGATTGTGTGGGAGAATTTGGACATCAACCGATATGTTCTCAAAAACAGTGCTACTGGAGAACCTTTTGATCAAGCATCTGAACAAAGATCAGGAATCAGATCAGAACAACTTTCGCGATAGTGAAACATCTGCAGAACTTGAAGTGCAGGATAAGCTGTCTCTACCTATTACTGTAAGCTCACTGGACGAATGGCAAAGGCCCAAAAAAACTTGTCAGGCATCAAAATTAAAGTGAAACAATCATTTGTGCTGGAAGGAAAAGAAGAGCATATGTCAATACTCGGGAAATTTAGAACAAAATAAAGAAATATATTTACCTAAAATTGAATAAATGAATGGCCTTTTGGGATACTCTGGAAATTTCCAACTGAGGCTTGCAAAATTTCGTTCGTAACTTTAATTTCCTGTGGATTTCTGAGAAAATACATTTCATCCATTCCAAACACTAATATAAAAAAGTCACCAAATCTGTAATTCCACAATAAATTTAAGAAACAATATTAAATCATGCAATGATCTGAATTCACAGCATGAAGAATAAACCCAATGTTGTAATGAATTTGATTAATAGAGAATTCAGAGATTTTCATTTTCTATAGCTAATATCTCCTCCAAAAATAATAAAATAGACAAAAGTCAATGTTCTTTTCAAAATTCTTAATGAAAAAATACATAAAACGTACACAACAATGCTGCAAAATTCCTGTTAAAAAGGAAGCTATGTTCAAAGAATTTGGTAACATGTAGAAAAGATCGTTCATGGAGTAAAAGCTCTTGGTAAGAACTCCAAGATGAAGATCAACATTTTATTACCTTGGACCAAACTGCCTGTGATGAACACACCATACTCTACCTTCAAATACAGCAGCTAAGAAAAAAGAATTTCAGCCATATATTACAACCTAATTAAAAGAGATTAACAGAGAAAACAGTCCAAGGGGATTCAGACATAACAAATAATCATAAATGAATTATTGGCTTCAGAATAAAAACTAGGGGAATGCACTTCTGCAGCCTTGCTTGAGTTTGACGCTTGTACACCCTTAACAGACGTGATCAGCTTTTCTCTGCTGGTGCTCTAAATAGAAGAGAAAATCAAATGGAAATGTTTGAAAAAGCTAGTGATCAGAAAAGAATGGTCAAGTATCCCTTGAACATAGAAGAGAAAAGATCGTATATTTATATTTCTTATATGGGTGCAAAAAAATGCTAACACCATGAGGAAATTCTCAGCTGAGTATATATTGTTTGATACTCTTTTAATTTAGAATCTTTGCGAAGTATTTTTGTTGTATTTGACTCAATTTGGCTTCAAGTTTGGTACATTACATATTGCACCAGATTCAAGTTGCATTGCATAAGAATATTACAATGGCTGCTGAGAGCGGACCCATTTTGATTGTGCAGGTATGGGTGAATTGAACACGCTCAGGCGTAATGGGTTTGCACCTACCTCAAGTCACATGTTGTTTGGTAACCTCAAGAGATATCATCAATGCAGAATTGCCTAAAGGAGTATATGGTCATTCAAAAATAAAATGAATTTAACAGAATGAATTCAGGAAACTTGGATTTCAGCAAGAACTAGAAGTTTTCAACCATAGTTTCAATGAAAATAAGAAGTTTTCATGTCAAGATTATGTTTCTAACAACGTTCAAATTGCTGCTATGGGTACATATCATAAATAGAGAAAACAACGATGTGTTAAAACAAGGAATTGAATTGGATGCAATAAAACTAGTTCAGGAGATAAATTGAAAGAGACATATGAACATTATAGTATCAAAAAGAGAAATAAATCAGACCTCTAATCATCATTTTCTTCATTTGACAAGCCTACACCTACAAGAAGAAATTTATAATATTAGTCACACAATTTTTTAATTTTATTACGTCAATCTTAATGTGCTTGTTTAAAATACTTACCATCACCCTTAGGAAACTGCATGCCCTTTTTTTCTACTACCAGTTTTAACCAATCTATAGTTTTTTTTTTTGTTTTTGAGATTTAATGATTTTACTATGTTCCTCATATTTATCTTGTATAACTTTTAAAATGGTTTCAAGCCCGACCTCTCTCTCTCAGATAACGCATTTGATTTATCAAATTTAGTTTTCTTTATCGACTTTGGCTCATAACCAAGGCCACGAATATATGAAGATGTTTAACCTAAAACTTCAGCACAAATTATTGTCTCATCAACTATTCCTCCCTCGTCAATAATTTTCGGGCAAATTTCCATCATATTGTCCTGTATGTTTTAAGAAAAATCAACACAGAAATGATGAAATATTACTAATAAAGATATTCTAATAAATTTAATTTATGCTAACATATTTGGCCCAACAATCTTCAAAAAATAATTTCTTTTCTTTGTCTGGAAACTCCTCCTTGTATAATTCAATTCTACTTAATTTCAACATCATAACAAAATATGTCACAAATTAATAGTTTTCAAATTTTGAACAATTAATAAATTATAGTTACCTAATCATATAGATGTGCTACGAGGGAGGGATTTTGTGTCCATTCGATGAACAAACTTCAACATCGAACGATTCCAAGAGTTTTATTCCAATTTTTTCTATATTAAAAAAAATTGATACAACATAATATAACTAGCAAAAAAATAAGTAGTGACAAAATTTGATTTTCGTCTGCATGAAATTTAAATATTTTAACATGGATGTATATATATATATATCTTATTTTGGTCTTATTATCTTTAATACTCTCTTTTTTTCCCTCACAAATTCATTACACGATAAGAAGTTTCATCATCGCTAATAAGAATATAAGTAAATTAGCAAACCATAGTTTCTTTTAAATTAAAGACATACCTTAAATATTTCTGAGTAAAAAAAATTCC